AGAAGCTACTATTTAATTATACAATAACCCAATAATTGAAGAGGAAAAAAAAAGCCTGTAAATCGTATAAAGCTAAATAATAACTTAGAAGGCAAGCTTACGTTAACTAAACGATCCAGACTAGGGATTATTAAGACTGTTTCTCCTCCGTTCACACTAGGATCCTTCTGCATTTCCTTGACAGCTTGCAATACTTCTTTCATTGCTTGTTGAAATTGTTTATTCTCTTCTGATAGTTCTTTTACTGTAATAAAAATTGTGTGTCTAAAAGCACTGAAAAAATTAGTTTATTTGATATATTAAAAAAATGTTCATACTATATACAAACATAACCAATTAGGAAGTTACAAGTAGAGCTGCTAGGAACATCTGGAGAGTGCATTTTGCTGGGTAAATACCAACAAAACCATAATGAAATACTTCATGGGAACACATTTGACTTTATTGAACCTTCTAGTCTTCAATGTTTCCTGCCACTTTTTTCACTTCTTTACTAGCCTGTCTGATCGGCTTTAACAAATTGAGAAATGTGGCTATCTTGCAAATGTTTGGGTGTAACAGTGAAGAATATAGGAAGTGCCTGAATTCCTGTTGCAGACTGGGAAAACAGAATGTTTTGACTTATCTGGCTGTAATAAGGACTCTCAAGACACACAATTTTCCTGCCACCATTAGTTTCTCAGTGGAATTCCAGAGTTTTCAGACAATAGCAAGAAGTCTGTAAACTTTAAAAAAAAACCTCAAACCTGTCAGGACATTCCCTGCATCTTGGCTAATTGTCCTGAAGACCCAGGAGCGAACTACAAAATTTGAAGCAGTTTGAGCAGTTTGAAAAGTCAAAAAGAATTTTTAGAATCCCCATTCTCTAGGAAAAAAAAGATTGTCGTCTAGAGAAATTAGCATTATTTTTATTTCAGAGTTTGCAAGCAGTACACTTCAGCTATCATACATATACATGTAAGCAGCAAGGGGGCTTAATTCCCCAGCCCTTCCTTGGAGCCAGAAAAACACTACAATTACACAAGTAAATTGCATAATTATTATAATTGGGTTCACTCACAGACTTAAAGCTCTTATTAGGTCTGATTCAGGGAGGAAAAACATGAGAGATCCCAGTTTAATGTATTTAGTATGAATAAACTACGTTCCATGTACTATCACCAATTTAAAGTTTAAAATTAGCACCACTATATACGTATTTATACACATGCACACAAAAACATACACTAATATAAACATAAAATTTTTTAAAAAGTCATTAATGAGAATTCAAAGAAATTCCAATTTGATAAATGCCATTTACTTTTATTGTTTTGTAATCATTGTGCTCACGTCTGGACCAATTCACAACCATAATTTCCACAGTTCAGAAGTGTATCAGAATGATTTCATAATAACCTATGTACACAGCAAATTCAATCATTGTGAAAGATACCAAAGTAAGCTGCATTTAAAACAGAAACTGTAAAGTCAGATATTTGTGGTCAATCACAGAAACAGAAAAACTAAATAAGCAAACTATCTGCAGGTACATGATAACGTTCCCTAGTTCTAAAACAAGTTGCAACTTACATTCAGATTGAAATTTGGCTATTACAGTCCTGTTCTTCTCCAAATCTCTCTCTCTCACACTTAATTCATTTGTAAGATACTCATTCTAAAGAAAAGAACAAAGAAGACTCAAAAATAGCAATTAAGAATTTTAGTATTAGAATTTTCTTTAATAATCTGTTAAGTGACAATAAATGCCTGAAAATATTGCTAATTAATATATATTCAACAGTGGAATTACATAGTGTGTGAACTAAAATCAGGTGTTATATAGAAGGCAACAATAAAAGAAATAGCCTCATCTTCACAGCAACAAAATTATCAGGAAAAAATTATTTAAACCATAAATAAACTTTATATAAATATTTATCCTGTTTTGTTTCTCTTTTAAACCCCCATAATACCTGCACTGCCTGGCTATTGCACCTTTCAAGATTTAATTGTGTATAACTATTGAGCATATTATTGATCAACAAATCTCTGGATATCTGCTAATTCTAAAAAACCCTAAACAGTAAATTACTTGTATAGGATTCTATCTCCATTTCTGTACAAAAAAAAAAATACATTTCCAAGACTTATCTTCCAAAATGTAAAAAAAAACCCCACTTATTCTTTTCTACTGAAAATGCAATTAGTAGGCATTATTCATTTCACAGCTTGGCTAACACAGTATTGTAAGAGAAATCACAACAGGAAAGCATATTCCTGTAGCATGGAAAAACTCTTGTATAATTGAAAAATGCCTGATGTATATAGACTTATACTTCCCATTGATCAATTATGTAGCTCAACAGGCTCAAGGGAAACGCCATCAGTTCCAAAACATTTCAGCTAAAGATAGGAAAGCCTTATTTGCTTATCTTTGGCATTGTAACTCTGATGTTTCCTCATCACATTCTTAGATGATTTCTTCCAGACAAAAAAGACACAGATTCTAATTTTATGAATCCAATGTTCTAGTTCCAGCCTTTTTTCAAATTTGCAGTATGCCTTCATGAAAATTTCCCGGTCCACATATGAATCTCCTGCTTGACATGTAATGGCAACAGAGAAGGATTCACTGGAAGAATTATGCAAAATGTATGCCATATAACGCTGTTTAGGGAAATGTATTATTGGGTCATGCAGCAGTTGAAAAAACAGTCTGGTGCAGATCAAAAGTCTGTGAGACTCTGAGAGATTGGCTTGACCCATGCCCTAAATGTACCTCCAGCAACCAAAGCAATGTCCTCCACTATACAGAAAAGTAACATGGCATTTCAAGGTACCAATTTAGAAAGCTACAAGTGAATAACTTTTTTATATCATCTATCACGTGAATAAAAGAAACCACAGCAAGCATCCTGAAATTAACCTGTTCTTCACTGATAACAGAAAGTTTTCAAAAACCCTTTTGAGAACCTAAAAGATTTTACTAATGCAGATCATTCTAATAAATACTGAAATTTTTCATTGAAAATCTTTTTTTCTGAAAACAGATACACATTGACAGTTGGGAGGGAAATAGATAAAAGTATAAAAGAACCAACTCAGGAACTTTTGAGATGTTTCCCGGAAGGAAAGGCCTTTCTCATTCCAAAAGTCTAACTTCACAATGTCTGTTTTATCTGGAGAAAGGAGACCTCTTCTAGTCAAATAACATCTGTGTCTTTTAACAGAAATCTCATCTTCTGTTTTTCAAACCAAATGACTGATTCAGTCCCTACTTCATTCAACTAATGCTTGTAAATTAGCACTTGTAATTATCTCTATTTACTTAAAACAATTTTTAAAAATAATCCCCAAACTATGTTGTTTAAAATAGTTGCAACAACTAATGTGTATGACATAATTGTGTGCACTACTAAGAAAAATGATGAGTACTTTGTTATGGAGAAGTGTGTAAGGTCTTAGAATAAAAACTGTTCTCTCTTTGTACCCATCTACGTGTGTGTCCACAGGTGTTGTGCAGACTTTTTCCACCACCAGAAGGAAAATATATGCCTACATTTTTCAATCCTATGTCAAAAATAAACTCCAAATTAATGACTTGGCACTTTTTTTATTAGAAGAAAAAAATGACCAATTCTATTGGAACTCTCATATTTAATTAATAAAGATGAAAGTAAACTAACACATCTTTATTATTTGAATTTCTCTTCTACATAAGTGCAATAGACATAAACACACACATACTATAAAGGTGTCTCACCTGTGATCTAAGAAGGACTAATTCTCTCCTCAACTGCTGTATGAGATTTTCAATAGGATCTACCTGATCTGAATATTCTGATTGTCCATTTTCAAGTCCACTTTCCAAAGTTTTTACTTGAAACAGTCCTGTTAGGCATTTCTCTCCTTCTCTGTCTTCTTGAAATGTAGTTAAATCAGAAAACTTTACTTGCGAATTGTCTTGCTTATCCTTCAATGTCATTATTCGTGTTTTGTGCATTACTGGCTTTCCAAGAGCAGATGCACAAGGAGGCAGAGAGTTTTTGCTGGGAGATAGTCCTGGGCAAAAATTCTCCTGACCCATTTGGTCTGAATTAGAACTTATGCATATTTGATTCTGAAAAGATGGTTTGTTTCTGTAATTTTGGTTATTTACCTCTGAGGAGGTCTGACACGCTTGCTGATAAGCAGAAAAAGAACCTGCATAGTCTGATTTTAAGTCTTTTGACATTTCTCTATTGACTGTATAATCTGTTATCCTTCGTGTAGATTGTAGCTCTGGTGATACGAAAAGATCTTTTATACTAAGAGTTTCAGAATTACAGTTGTCATTAACTAGTTGCCACTCTGTCACATGTTTTGAACCTAAATGAACCAAAGAAGTATTTCTATTTTTCTCCAAGTGATCTAAATTCTTACGCATGCCAGAAGTTCTTCTAGGCAGATCTCCCACAGCCTTACTGTTTTCAGCTACATCTTTCTTTGACTTCAGATGTCTAACTGGTGCTTCTCTATCTGCAAGTGTGTTTCTCCCTTCCGTGTTACATGAGCTGCTAGCCTATATTCACAAAAAATATAGAATATTCATTAGTCTTCTAAAAAAATCATGAATTATTAATTTTTGGATTTTTTAAAAGCAGTTAATAAAAGCTAGAGAAATTTTTGAATGGATATTTACAAAATAACATTATTTTTGTTTTGAAAGAGAAATACAACAAATGTTTATGAACTTGCTTTATGGACCTACCTTTGCTTTTACCTCAGCAACATGTCTGCTCAAGAAATCCAACTTCCTCTTACTCATTCCATTCTCTTCAGTAAAGGCATCAGTTACGTGCATGTCACCAGCTTCCAATCCTAATTGGAAGTCAATGTACAAGTAATAAATGATTATGAATTTTCAATTGGTCTCCAAGCAAGTGAATATATTCCATTTAGTATATTTGAGTTCTAGTTTTCTACCTACAAAGTAAGAAGCTGCAAACCTTTCCATTTGAGCACGTTGTGCTTTCCTGGGTAGCACAGAATTGAAATTTTAAGATTTTTGAAACACAAACATTATATAGATTTACTGGAAATCATGGTGAGATGATCCTGCATCTACGAACTGAAAGCCAATGACACAGCTCTCAGTGATGCATTACTAGCCATGACAAGTCAAAAAGCTACTGGGCTGTAAGACAACAGAAATACAAAACCACTGACCTCTACCTACAGATTCAATGAAATGTATTTAGCCTTGTAAATTAAACAAATGAGTAAATATAAAATAACTACATTAATAGTTACAGACAGCATGTTTTTGAAAGGACAGTTTATAATAAAAAAAAAATCCTACCTCCTGTTGCAACTCTTCGTCCTTTCTCCTGAGCCAACTTACGAACCTGTTTTTTCAGTTCAATTCTTTCCTCCTCTAGTCTTTCAATCTGCATATTGTTATGCACAGCTCAGTATTAATTTATTAATTATTAATTAGTATTAATTAATTTAATTTTGCTCAAATGCATTTTTATTATGTATCTCTTAAACAAAAATAGGATTTATCACTTGCCTCTTGCAAAAGAATCTGGTTTTCAGCTCTATATTGCTGCTGCTTCAGTGATTTCCTGTTTTTGAATTCATTTAAATCAATCATTGTCTTTGGCTCAAGACCTAAAACACAGTATATGCTGTATAATTATTCATTAAAGAGGAATATTAATGTTAGTAATCATTAGAATGCAGTTAAATTTAAATAAAAACATAAGTCAAGTAAAATTAAAAAATATGTTGATAGTTGAATATATATTTCTATATATGTACACACATTTTATGCTCCATGTAACAACACAAGAAGAAAGCATAATTTTACTTCAGTTACTCAAAACCCAAAATGCAATAAAATGACACCTAAAATTAACTATATTTATGTTTAGATACTTCTATGTAAAAATAAGAATGTCCAAAGTTTTTACTGTGTTTTTCGATCTAGCATTACAACTCTAGTATGTTATCATTTCCAAAGATCATATTATGAAATTAATTAAGCAGTGTACAAAGAGGAATCAAAACCAAAATAGCACTACAAAACCTATTCTCCTACTTTCTTGCGTCAAAGCAACCTGTAAGGCAAGTTTAGTCATGTACATTCAAGTTTAGTCACATACATTCATGCAGTTTGTCTTAACTAAAACTACTTGCAAATATTAGCAGAATATACAATATTATTTCCAAGTATTCACTTGGTATAGTAAAAGATTTCCATGATATAATGTTATTTCAGTTCTTACACAACAAATAATTGAAAACGTAATGGATATAGCATACCTAAGCGCTCTCTGAGTTCTTCATTTTCATCAAGAAAATCATTTATTTTAAGTTCAAGTTTATTGACTTCCTTAATTAATGTTTCAATCCCATGATCTCGTATTTTGATTTGCTTTTTTAAATCGTTTATTTCAGCAACAGCCTCTTCCAAACCATATATTCCCTGTAAAAACCCAAATGGAAAGTAAAAATAAAACAACCAACAGAAGATGTAGGAAAATAAGTTGCAAATCTGTCTTTCATCATTACACAGGTAAGAAAAAATGTTTTCCAACATGTACCACTCTTCAGCACTACACTTAGTGAAAAAAGTCACTGAATAAAAAGCAGATCCTACAAATCTGTCTTTTGACTACAAAGGAGTCTCTGCATATTTCAAAATTGAGTCCTTCTACTACATGATCCTTCGAAGAATCATATATTGAGTGTTCAATTACTGTTCAATGGACTTCAGAAGCCCATATGAATATGTTAAAACTAACAACTTGTTAAAACTGTTAAGTATGGCTAACAAATTGCATGCAGCCAATGACCACTAAATGTTATTATGAAAGAAAAAAAAAAAAAAAACAGCATCAGAAGTCATTAATTTAATTTCTAATTAGAACACAGTCAATAAAAAAATGGAAGGACAAAATTATCTCCTAAAATATGATGAAATACCCTGTCCCCTCTGACAAATTGCTTACCAGTTCATAGTGTCTCATTCGTTTCAGAGTCTCAAAAAGTTCTTTGTCCTTTTCTTTAGCATCTGCTTCTGCTAATTCTGCTGACTTCTCAGCCTCTTTAGTTCTCTCTTCTAGCAATTTTAACTTTTCTTGCATATCCCCAATACGATTCTGCTGAGCAAGAGATGAGTGACCTGGAAAGAAAAACTCTGATCTGTTTATGATTCAAATAGGAATTCTTGCTATCAGCCATTTAGCAAGAACAAAACACTTTGGATGATGTTACAAAGGAGATCTTCATTTTCTGCTCTTTTCAATTAAGTAATTACAAAAGACTATATGTGAAAGTTTTTTTTTCTTCCCCCAATCATTCATTCAAACAATATTTATAAGAAGTAAGTGCACGTAAGGGACATCACGGTTTATTTTGTATTGCATGCTACTCCTCATTTGCAATTCTTGACAGAGCTGAGACCTTTTATGTTATGCTCTAACCTTTATAGACTAGGTATGGTTTTATTAGGCACTGTATTACCCATAAAACCCACTGAAGTACCATGAATAAATTTAAACTCTTAATGAATGTTTAATAAATGGAAATGAACAAAAAAGAGACTACTACTCAAATAGTACAAATAATTTCTCTGCATTTCTTGAGAATAAAGAATGCATAGTAAATACATGGTTTGTTATTTTCCTTTCCACAGACATTAAAATACAATGGTCATGTTACCTTTATCTTTCTGGAGATCATTTTTTAATTCCTCAATAACAAATGCATTTTGTTCCATTTCTTTGGTATACTGCTCGACTTGTTCAGTAAGCAATCTTATCTGAGCATCTCGCTTTTGCACATCCTACAGACAAAAAAAAAAGAAACTGCATTAAAAAATTCTTTACTGTCAGGCAAGCTACCAATATAGAACACCACACAGTGAATGAAGACATTAAAAGCAGCAAATACAAAACAATTTATAGAACATCAAATATACTGTACTTACAACATAGAGTTCAGATATTATCTAGAAGTTGGGTATATAAAGGCAAAGCAGGAAAAATAAAAGAAAGAGTAAAAATAAAGCATTCAAACACACAAAAAAAGTAAAAGCAATATTTTAGTATATCAATTCTAAATGGAACAGTTTGCTAAGAGTTAGCCAATGTATGATTAAAAGTTTCCTTTGATACAGGTTTCTTACAGCTTCCTCGTAAACAACTGCCAGTGGGAACTGAGTGACCCAAGTTCAAGATTGGGAGGACTAACAATCCATCACATATGACACCTGTACCACAGACTGCCTTTCAGCAAATCATCCAACTTTCAAAAATTCATATTACACTGTGGTTTGCAAGCATATGCATCCATAAGTACACACAGAACGTGAAAGTGACTTCTATTTATATTATAGTATTTCTGTGCTTCTATGTGAACTTTAGAATTATCACAGACAGCTCAATGTTACTTTTTCTGTGATGAATGGAAAAAGAGGAAAAAGATAAGAGAGACTCGGAAAAAAGTTACAGAAAGTATTATAATGTAAAAATCTCGAGAGTTTCTGACCTTACTTTATACCAATGTTATGAAAAACAAAAACTCAGTCTTTCTTAGAGGACAAATAAAACCACATTTAAAATCTAAAGGCAAAGATCTTGGTAAAGTTGTAAGGAGCTAAACATAACCCTTTAGAATGTAAACATACATTGAACCATAATGAGCCCAGTCCATTTTGAGTTAAAATACAGTACAGTAACTTGATTTAGTTTTTAAGTGTCCCCTTTAAAAACATGCATATATCCACAAAACTGTTCAAAATGTCATGCTAATGTCATCCAAAAAAGCAACCTCTACAGCCATCTAGTCAGCTAAAACCAGACCCTACAGCCGCTTATCAAAGTTACTTTCAGCTGCCTTCCTCTTCTGATCATCAGAGGCTGATTTGTACTTGAAGTTTTTTTTCCTCCTGAGAAGCTATCTGTTCCTGCTTTTGGAAGTCTGCATAAATACATCTCACCATACTACTCAGTCTACAAGGGCCCAACATGTAACACAAATGTCATGACACATTTATTTAAAAAACTTGAAGCACAGCAGGAAATCATCCTGGTATCATACAGGATGCTTCCCATAATGTATATTTCAGGGGTCCTAGTGGGTCACATTATTTATTTATTCTTACACTTTTCAAGAAAGTGGGGAAGTTCAAAATCATGAGAACTATGTAATTTTGCATGAATCACACAGAATCACAGAATCACAGAATGTTAGAGATTGGAAGGGACCTCGAAAGATCATCTAGTCCAATCCCCCTGCCGGAGCAGGACACCTAGATCAGATCACACAAGAACGCATCCAGGCGGTCTTTGAATGTCTCCAGAGAAGGAGACTCCACACCCTCTCTGGGCAGGCTGTTCCAGTGCTCTGTCACCCTCACCGTGAAGAAGTTTCTTCTCATATTCAGGTAGACCCTCCTATGGTCCAGCTTGAACCCATTGCCCCTTGTCCTATCACTAGATGTCACAGAGAAGAGCCTGGCTCCATCCTCCTGACACTCACCCTTCACGTATTTATAAACATTAATTAGGTCACCCCTCAGTCTCCTCTTTTCCAGGCTAAAGAGACCCAGCTCCCTCAGCCTTTCCTCATAAGGGAGATGCTCCATTCCCTTCATCATCTTTGTGGCTCTGCGCTGGACTCTCTCTAGCAGTTCCCTGTCCCTCTTGAACTGAGGGGCCCAGAACTGGACACAATATTCCAGATGCGGTCTCACCAGGGCAGAGTAGAGGGGGAGGAGAACCTCTCTCGACCTACTGACCACCCCCCTTCTGATACACCCCAGGATGCCATTGGCCTTCCTGGCCACGAGGGCACAGTGCTGGCTCATGGTCATCCTGCTGTCCACCAGGACCCCCAGAATGTGAGAGATACTTAAATTCAGCTAGCTCTATCATGGACTGAACCATAGACTTAATGGTATGGTATCAGGTGAGACAAAGGAACACAGAAAACTAAACACTAGGTAAGACTCTTCCTTGACTAACAAATTTAGAGGACAGAAACTAAGCTGTAATTTAAAAACATTAAATTATGGATGTTTAGATGTTAAAGCAATCACTCTACTAATAGTTAGAAAAGATACATATGAAAGTAACAGAAACAAGTACCAAGAGCTCAGTTCATACATACAGCAAGGGAAGTCTATTAGGCTAACTTTGCAGTGGAATGAATCAACCTGTCTCATAATTCTCAAACATAAGTAATACATATTCTGGTATTTTCAAACTATGAAAGACTAAATAATTATTTGGTCACTAGCATATTTAGTGAAAGGTAATATCTATGTGTATAATTTCCCACACAGGCTGTACCTGCTGTAGGGCCACCATATTGTTTCTGTCTCCATCAAGCTGGGTCATTTTCATTTTCTCTTTCAAGTTAAACACCATTTGCTGATACTCTAGGAGTTCATCATCTTTTGAAGCCAAAATTTTCTGAAAAGAAGATAAAATATCATCAAAATACTTGAAACGATTCATAAAAAGAACAGAAAAGTATTTAAAAGTACCTTCCATTCTTCAACTTTTGCATTTACAGCTGCCATGAGTGGATCATCTTCCTCATTCTTTGCTTTCAGCTGGTCTGAAAGCTCCTGAACCTAGAAATGCCATTTGGATGAACATCGTATCACAAAAATGTTTTCCTTAACCAATGTGTATGTATAAACACTACATCAAGCATATACAATTTAACAGATTAGCAGCAAGGGTAGGTCATGCCTCTTAAGAACAGAGTATAACTAACATTTTGCACACAAAAATTTTGTGATCTGCAGTCAAGTTTTAAAATTTGCACCAAATTTAAAGATCACACTACTTTTATTTCAGCAAAGTGTATGTTTTTAACTGGATATACTGAATGGTTTTTAATTTAAGTTAAAATATGAAAATACAGTATAAACTAAAAAAAATTACATTCAATAATACGAGTCAGTTCTTACTTGAAATTTGTACTGTTCTTTCTCTTTTCTTAATTGATCCATAACAATATCAGATTGTTGCACAATTAGTTTCATTCTGTTATATTCACCAGTTATCTTCTCCATTTCTTGCACTGATTCCTCAAGATCCTTCCTCATTTCTTGGTTTTGAATGTCTAACTTCTCATTAGCTTCAGTCAAATTCTGCAAAATTAAAGCAACAGCTGCCTCTAAAAAGTGCATAGCTTAATACCTGAATAAGCACTAATTGATAGCTACCTTTAGCTACCTTGAAATTAGGACTGAAGAGAGTATTTCACCTCTAGATCATCAATTTAAACAAATCCTAACAGCAAGTAAAAGACACATCTCCCATTGCCAGTAACTTTATCACCTCTGCCAGATTCACAGATGCCGAGTATCACAGAATTCAACTTATGAATTCCCTTTCTCTCCATGACTTGATCTGCAAATTGACATAGCTTTGTGAAAAACAGTTTTGTCACTAACAGTCTAATAAATACTCAATAGCATGCATAGATTTTACCTGAATTTCATCCAAATACTGGACAAGCTCAGAGTTCTTTTTGGACAACTGTGATCTGTAATCAGAATCCTCTCCTCTTCGTAGTAGCATTGTTTCTTTTTGAGCATCTATTTGCCTCTGATAGTCAAGTACATCCTGCCGCAATTGTTCATTCTGCATAGAAAGCAATCCAAACTTAAATCTACTTTGAAGAGTTGAAAACAAAGTTGTTGCTTTTCTAGCAAGCTAACACAAAGAGCTAAGACAGTCAAAACCCATCCAAATTCCTACAGTCTGCTTTTAAAAAACTTAGAAGCCTCACCTTCTTCTTCATGCATTTTTTCTTCGGATTAAAAAGGAGAGAACAAGATCAAAAGAACAAACCATAAAAAACATTAGAAATTATATTTGCTTTAGAAAGACTAAATAGGAATCAACTTAGAGACAAAATAAAACAGAGTTCTCTATATACCTATTAATGGGTGTACATATATACACACACATACATAAAAGGACATTTTGAGGAATTACTCTCAAGGTTTCCCCCCAGCACATTAATTTAACATTTGCTGTCTGTTTTAGTCTCTCAGAGGCCAAGATTACAGGTATAAAATGCTATAAAACATGCATTTTTTTTCTAAAAACAGATAGAAAAAAAGTTTCAAGAGTGATTAAAAAAATTCCAGTAATAAAGAATGTTAACTCTACCTTTGCATTTATTGTTATGTTAACTTTTGACTTTTTATACTTTAATCAATCAATCTTAGCAAAAGCAGGAAGCATAAACTGAATTCTAGTATCCACCAAACCTATTTGTCAATAGTGTTTAAGAAAAATACTAAAATGTCAAAACACAAAACTCACACAAAATTAATGCACAGTAGGACTAAGTAAATTCAAATGTAGGCACCTCCTGACCTCAATTAATTATGTTTCATTGGAGCAGATGTACTACATATTTGCTAAATGTGATTAAAATTCTATATTCTCTTTGTACCAGTAACTAGGAAATGTTCTAAAACAGATTTAACATAATGCCAAACCGAAGATTATCAATATAGAAAGCTAATAATATATCTATAAATAAAGTTAAAAATACACTATAATCAGCAATAATTATTTACCAACCTCTCTCCTTAATTTGATGTTTTCATTTTCGGCATCTTCATTTCGAACAGCAAGCTAGAACAAGATGGAAAACCTTTATATGTATCACTAACATCACAAACTATGAAAACAAAAACTCCAGAAACAAAACAAAAAAAAGTTTCATCAGCAGGTTTTTTTTTCCATTTCAGAGGCTCTTTTCAAAACACTGACTTTCCAAAAAATGTAACAGAACAGCTTTTAGACATGTCAAGCTGAAGTCCTTCTTACCTGTTCATTTGCTTTCTTCTCTTTTTCCAACTCCTTTTCGATATCTGTTAATTGTCTCTCTTTTTGTTCTAATTGTTTTTCCAGTTGATGGATTTCATCACACAAAAAACGAGTATCACGACTACCAGCAGATCTTTGTGCCATCTTAAAAGCATTAAAATAACATTATAAATTTAGTAGAATTCTTCAAAATAGAAAGAACTAAAAAAACAAAGCAGATGCTAAGACTAACACTCCTAAAGTTCAGGAAAAGCAACAGGAAAGGTTCACTAGCTTCTTTCAAGAAAACCCAGAAATCTCTAAAAATAAATGGGATTTTTAAAGTATAATTCATTGTACATACAGCTCTTTGCAAAGCTGAGGCTGGTGAACATTCAAAAGCCAATAAAAAGTATTAGTGAAAATGTAGGGCTATTACATCTCTTTACTAGATTAAAATACTAGTCTAAAAAAAGTAAATTAAAAAAGAAACCCACTAAACAGAACTCTATAAACTAACAAAATCTTAAAACATACCTCTAATTCATTTTTAAGTTTCATCACCTCTGTTTTAAACTGATTTTCTGTTAAAATAGAACAGATATAGCGAATTACCCAACAAAGTAAAAAAGTACCTTACACAACAACGGTTAACTTTAGTCTTCAAATATTCGGCTTGATGGAAGTAATTGACTTCAGATAAGTTAGAATTTATTCAGTTCCCTAAACTCAAAAAAAACCCCTAAAAAATACATTTTCAAAATCACAGAATCACAGAATGTTAG